CCTGGTGACGCTGTGTTGCCCTTGAGCTAGTCCTTCCCCGGTCGCCTAGCCTCTGCGCTGTCTGGCGGACGCCTGTATGCCATGCGCGCGGACCACGCTTGCGTGGACACGTGGCTGGCAGGCTGACCCGTGTGCGGGGTAACCCGCGCACGGGGAAGCTTCACGGGTTCGAGTCGCCAAACATTAAGCAGCGGAGGTGTGCCGAGGGGGACCGGGAGGCGGTAAGCCGTCGTCGCCCGGCGCTGCATGCAGCACCGTGGCGATGGCGCTAAGAGGTTCCTCTTTTCCGCGCCCCCCCCGCAAGGCGCGCGATACACCGCGGTCACCCGCGGGTGCCATCGCATCTGCCATACACAAAGCATTACTCTCACGACACACGGGGATCGGGTGGACCGTGGAGCGGCGGCGGCGGCGGCAGTGGCACGCGCGGGCGGACGGACTCGGACGGGGCGAAGCAGCGACCGCCTGGGCGGCCGCTGCTCTGTGCGCGCCGTCTGTGCGCAGCTCGAGCGCGGTCAGGTGCACAGGGAAGCGTGGCGGCGCGGGGAAACGCGGCGGCGGTGGCGGCGGCGGCGGCGGCGGCGGCAGCGGCACGCGCGGGGCGGCGGACGGGGCGAGCACGCGAGCTGATCGACGCGGTCGTGGCTGTCGCTGCAGGCCCAGCGCATGTCAGTCGCGCTGCAGCTCGCGGCGGCGTAAGAAAGAGATTGCGACCGAGCTCAGGCTCGCCGCGGCGTCGGAGGACGCCGCCGTCGCCTAGACTCCCCTGCGTCAGCACGTGCCTCCCCGTCTTTGTAGCCTGGCGTTTGTGCCCCGTTTGTGCCGCGTTGCCCCCGATCTCGAGTTCATTTAAATAATAAGAACCACTGAAAGCTGTGTCTTCACAGCGAGCAGAGGCCCACACAATGCGGCACCCGGCCGAGTTTGCCGCGATTCATGTTCTGCACCTTCGCGAGCGTCCTCGCCGCGGCGACCGCGCGCCAGAGCGTCTCAAGCCCAACAGTCCGCGTCGGCGGCCATCCTCCTCCCGGACCTTGCATGCAAGCCGGCGGCGGGTGGCGAGCGAACGACGCAGTCGCGGACACTTCTCGAGTCCCAACCAAGGATTCTGTCAGGACCGAGGCGCCGCCGTATGCGGCGTCCGCCCCTCTCACGATTCTTGAGGCGTCCATCGGCCTCCGCGCCCCGATCGGCCCGCCAACGACCAAGCCGACGGACGGCGGGCGAGCGGCAGCGCCCCAGCACCTCCTCTTCCTCCAGAGGGAGCGGGCCGTCGATGCGCGCCTGACGGCCGCGCTGGGGGAGTTTGCGTGTCCTGCAGAGCTCCGTTCGACCCGGATCTCCGACTGGAACGCGGTCGAGTCCGATCGCTTCTCCGTCCCAAGCGGGTGCGCCGACTGGCAGCGCGCCTGCGCCTTCTTTGCCTGCGCCAACTCCTCGCTGCTCGAGGTCGGGCAGGGAGAGCTGAAGCGGGCGGAGCAGGCGCTCGGCGACCCGCACTGCACTCCCCCACGCCGCTGCATCGGCTGCCACACACCGTCACCACTCTGGCTATGCCCACCCGCAGCCGCTGCCCGGTCTGCCTGCCCTGTCTGCCCTGCATCAAGACTCGCTCCTTTGGCCGCTCCAGGTGCGCACCCGCCACCCCGCCACGGCGGAACGGCGATTTTCGCTCGTGTCCGAGGAGCCACCAGGCTGCTGGGCCGCCTCTGGCAAGGCCCAGGCGTCGCTGCCCATCCCGGCCCGGTTGTCCGAGACTGAGGCGGTGCCCATGCATCTGCCGGTTCCGCCAAAGACCGAGGTGGCGGAGGATCAGCGCAGCGAGGCGTCGCTGGAGGAGCTAGCGCGGCCCGCGGAGGTCTGCGCCACTCAGATCGCCGACTCGAAGACGGTTGAGTCGACCGATCTCTTCTCCATTTCAAGTGACCTCGCCGGCTCGCGGCCACGCTGCGCCTCCTTCGTCTGGGCCGACTCCTTCACGCTCGAGGTCGAGCAGGGCGAGGAGGAGGGGGCGGACCAGGCGATCCGAGCACCGCATCGCCAGCCCGTCTCCCCCCTGCCCCTGCCTGCCGCACGGCCTCCCCTGCGTGCCCTGCCAAGCCACTCGCTTCTATCACTCCTCGCGCCTCTTCGCAGCGTGCCTGACGGACTGTCGCCCGCGCTTGCCTTTCCACAGGCCGAAATCTTCATGGCCGAGATGGACACGGCCGAGACGGAGACGGCCGGCAGCTCTCTTTGGCCCCTCCTCATGGGTGCCCTCGTGGGGTGCTTGGGCGTCTCTGTCGTGGCGCTGAAGTGGAGAGGCTACAAGATGGACGGCCAGAAGCGCTCGAGGCGCGCCAAGGAGAACGAGGGCATGGCACTGACTGGCATCACCGCCGGTGCTTGCCGCACTCAGATCTTCTTCTTCTTCTTCTTTGTCGCGATGGTCGGCCTGTGCGGCGTGACCAACGAGGCCTCGACTGCGAGGTACACTCGGTGGCGCCGCGCCATGCCGGGTCTCCTATCCGTCAACAGCATCGTACCCGAGTCGTGTCCCGCCGACGCTGCTGGGAAGGCCCGGAGGCTGGTCGAGACGGGCCTCGTCGGCGCGGTAGCCTTGCATCTCGGCGGAATCGCCTCGCTCGAGCCATCCGCCGCCCATGTCCGCGTGGCCGCCGCCGCGCTGCTCGTCGGCAGGGCGGCCGCGTCTGCCACGGATCCATCAGGTGAGCCCCCTCCGCCCAAACCGCCGCCGCCGCCGCCGCCGCTGCCGCCGCCGTCGCCTCCACCGGAGCCTCCGCCGTCGCCTCCGCCGTCGCCACCGCCGTCGCCACCAGCAGCTTCAGTCGAGTTCCTCGTCACCGTGGGTGGCGGCAGCTATCCGTCCGAGGTGTCGTGGAACCTGACGTGCAGCGGCGCGTTGATCGGCAGTGGAGGGGCCCCCTACTCCGGCACCCTGTCCGCGCCGCCCGGCGAGTGCACGCTCAACATGTACGACTCGTGGGGCGACGGCTGGAACGGCGACGAGTGGGAGGGTGCGGGCTATACGTTCACGCTCGACTCCGGATCCTACGGCAGCAAAACGTTCACCCTCGCCCACCTCCCTCCGTCCTCTCCGTCGCCGCCGTCGCTGCCCCCTCCGCTGCCGTCCATGCCGTCTCCGCCCTCTACGCCGCCGGTCTTCCCCGGCTTCGATGTCGCCGCGGAGAGCGAGGCCGAGCTCCGCTCCCTGATCGCGGAGGCTGCTACTTCGCAAGCCGACGTCGCAATCTACCTGCCGCCCAGGGCAGACTTCAAGCTGGGCAGCGAGATCAGCTGCGTCTCCAACATCAAGGTGACCGTCACGAGCAGCGGCGAGGGCGCGACGCTCGACGGCCAGGGACAGACCAGGCTCTTTTACCTCGAGGGCGGCTGCAGCCTCACCCTGCGGGGGCTGACCCTCGTCAACGGGAATGCGTACTACGGCAGCGGCGGCGTTGTGTACGCTTACGGCGCAGGCGACGTCGAGATCATCGACTCAGATGTGTCGGACTGCTCTGCTTACTATGTGCGCCGCGTAAAGCTAGCCGCCTCCAGCAGCGCCGCACGGCAGCGGGGCGAGAGATCGAGAGGGCCACGGCTTGCCTCACCCCGCTCTCTCCTCGCAACCGCAGTCCGGCGGCGTGGTCTTCGCGCCTTACAGCGGTGCGGTCTCGATAACCGGTTCGACCGTGACCGGCTGCTCGGCTGGCTCTGTGCGCCGCGTAGAGCTAGCCGCACTCCAGCAGCGCCGCACGGCAGCGGGGCGAGAGATGTAGAGGGCCACGGTTGCCTCACCCCGCTCTCTCCTCGCAACCGCAGTGGGGCGGTGTCGTCTACGCGTCTCGCACCGGTGCGGTCTCGATAATCGGCTCGGCCGTGACGAGCTGCTCGGCTGGCATGGTGCGCCGCGTAGAGCTAGCCGCACTCCGGCAGCGCCGCACGGCAGCGGGGCGAGATATAGAGAGGGCCACGGCTTGCCTCACCCCGCTCTCTCCTCGCAACCGCAGTCCGGCGGCGTGGTCAACGCTGATCGCAGCGGTGCGGTCTCGATAACCGGCTCGAATCTGACGAGCTGCTCGGCTGGCGAGGTGCGCCGCGTAGAGCTAGCCGCACCTCTGCAGCGCAGCACGGCAGCGGGGCGAGAGATGTAGAGGGCCACGGTTGCCTCACCCCCGCTCTCTCCTCGCAACCGCAGGAGGGCGGCGTCGTCTACGCGTATATGAACAGCGGTGCGGTCTCGATCATCGGCTCGAACGTGACGAGCTGCTCTGCTGGCACTGTGCGCCGCGTAGAGCTAGCCGCACTCCGGCAGCGCCGCACGGCAGCGGGGCGAGAGATCGAGAGGGGCCACGGCTGCCTCACCCCCGCTCTCTCCTCGCAACCGCAGGAGGGCGGCGTCGTCCACGCGATTTTCAGTGAGTCCCTCTCCATCGCGGGTGTCGACTTCATCGACAACAGAGCGCACTCAGCCTCGGTGCTGTTCCTGCGAGAGATCAAAAACACCTCGATCAGCGACGCCTCCTTCACCGGCAACACCGCTGGCGACGACAACGACGGTGCCACGATAGAGGCAGTCAACTCGCCGATAAACTGGGACTGCCGCTTGGGCAGCTGGATGCCGCGCAAGGGCTCCTTTTTTGGCGACTTCAGCGTCCCCGAGTGCAACCTCTGCCCTGCTGGCTACTTTGGGAACAGGAGCGGCCTCACCAACTCCTCCTGCGAAGGTGCGTGTAAGCGAGGCCACTTTTGTCCCAAGGGAACAGCGGAACCGCTCCCGTGTGCTCCGGGCTTCTACATGCCCGCGATAGGCGCAGCCAGTGCCGAGTCGTGCCTCCCTTGCTCTCCGGGGACGAGCCAGTCCACAGCCGGCGCGGACCGTCCCTGCGACGAGTGCCCTCCCGGCACGTTCGCCGATCAGCTCAACGCCACTGGCTGCACCGACTGCCCCGCGGGACGCTTCTGCCCGAATGCAGGCACCGTGCAACCCCTCGACTGTGCCGCAGGGCAGTACCAGAACCTCACCGGCCAGGCTGCGTGCGTGCAGTGCCCTGCTGGCGAGTTCCAGCCGGAGCGCGGCCAGACGTCGTGCGATTTGTGCGCCGCGGGTGGGTACTGCGAAGTCACTGACGACTGTGGCGGCGGCTTCACGCCCTGCCTTGCGGGGAGCTACAACAAGAAGACGGGCAGCAGCTCACCCGACGCCTGTCAGCAGTGCCCCCCCGGAACCTCTAGCCCGACCGCCGGCGCAGTCAGCAGCGAGACGTGCGCGAGCTGCCGTGCTGGGACTTTTGGCGGCGAGCCCGGGCTGAGTGAGTGCACGGACTGCCCTGCCGGCAGTTATCAGAACGATACGGGCGCG